AAATATGGTTAACCTATAGCTTGTTTACAAGGTGAACTTTGCCTTTCCATGAGCTGTGCCTCTTATGACTAAGATACTGTGGGTACTTGCCCACCCAGTTTCCCCTACTTGCGAAAACCTGGCTTCCTGCGTTTCAAGCAGAAAAATAATATGTTCCTCATTCTTGTTCGTTAGGTGAAAGAGCATAAGCAGAGTTTTGATTTTTGAGTTTTAGAATTAGACAAGTAGCCTGATTAAGTATTGAGGGGTTCAATGGTGGACCCCATGCTGTTTCAAATTCACAATATACGAAAGTTTAAAAAAACATAGAAAAAAGATTAAAATGTAAAAACAGATGAAAGGACAAAGCAAGATTTCTGCTTTTAAAATTCCTGGATGTTTCCATTCTAGCTGTATCCATTTCTAAAGAAGAAGGAATTGAGCAATCTTTCCCTGTTTAAAGTCTACTTGGATCAAAATGGAGATGTAGCAGCAGATCTGGAGATCATTAGTAGGGTAATTCTCCCCAAGGAGGATCCCATCAACAAGAAATTGGGGACTTTTGAAAGACAGAGACTAATAATCAACCAAGATGCTTTGTCACAGTTAAAGTTGCTCAGCAAGGTGGGAAAATAATGATTTCTTTTTTTTTTTCATTTTTTCAAAGAATTAGGACCCTTTTCAAGTTAGCTAAACTGAGTCAAAAAGGTGAGTAACATTAATTGAGAACTGTTTGAAATAAAATTTTTATACTTTTCTTAGGCAGATAGGGAGGCTTCAGTTCTATTGACCAAGGAAACCCTTCAGATGCTGTAATGCTAAATACCATTGTATACTGATTCAATTATATCCAAAATGAGATTTGGGGTGATTATTATTCAGGACACAAATCATTGCCATTTAATGTCTCTTTTGCAATTAATGACCGTAAAACTGGTGAGGTAGGGCCTGATATGCTGAAGATTTACATGTTAATAGCTTCAGGTACATTTGTTAGTTGTGTTAAATTATCAAAGATGACGGCAACTCAGTCGCTGAGTTCAGGTTTGGACTGAATCTGATGAAACAAAATCAAGAGTGAATGGAGGTCCTCTTGGTCCAGTTGTGAAATAACCTTCATCATGTCCTTATTGGAGTCAGGGTTTTATAAAATTGCAGCTCCAGAGTTTGAGATATTTTAATCATCCAAGACCAGGTCATAGCTATACATGCCTCTCTTTAACCTTACTGGGATAGTGGAATTTAGGAAGGAGGTCCAAGGCTTTCAGTTCACATGAAACTGGAATGATGAGACTTATGTGAGGTTATTTATTTATTTATTAAATTTATTTGCCTCCCATCTCACCACAATAATGGCCTGAAAACTGAAGTATAATTTGGGTGCAAAAAATGAATACCTTAAATAAATAAATCCTGATATCAGAAGTAATAAGGGTCAATATTGAGAGAAATATTACTTAGATTTGTAGGGTATTGGCTTGTAAGAGTGAACTTCATCTGAAAATCCCTTAAATCCAATTGTTTGTCTTGACTGTTAGCTATCTTAGGACACTGGGAGACTCCAAATCAAACTAAATGTCAGAACTATCAACTTACATCTGTTCTTTCCTGTGTTCAGCACCAGCTTTCCATAAGCCCGGGGGGAGGGAAGCAGAGAATGGGAATGCTTGGGGGGGGGAGTAATATTGTTGTTTGGGACTGTACCAGTCAGAGAAAACCCATCAAGGTTCCCAATCAAACTAATAATAAATATGGGTGTATATTTCCCTGTTATTTTGTGTCCCCTAACTGTAGTCTTTCAACAGAAAAGATCCTGTGTTGGATACCTTGTGTTGGACATCCCTTTTCTGCACAGGCCTCATATTCATGTCCCACTAGCTACATCAAAATATGCCTGACTCACCCCTTTTGAGGGACACGTTCTCATGACCTCACCTCCATCTCACCTCGCTATGACTTTAGAAGCTAGTTTTAGTTTTAGTTCACCAGCATGGCAGCCATATAAATTGAACAAATAAATATACAAAGGAAGAACATCGCCTCTACAGCCTTTACTTGTAAGGAATTTTTCCTTTGTAGCTTAGCCAGGAGATCATTTTGGACTATTTTTGAAAGAAGCTTTGCAATGTTTTATGTACTCCAGAAGAAACCTTTCCAGAACTTATTGGTCAAAAGTTTCTTTCTTCATCCCAGTTTTAATCTATTTTAAATAAATTAAAAATAAGTAAAAATTTTAAATAAATAAATTGATGTATAAAAGATGCATTAATCAATCCTTCAATTAATCAGTTAATTTTAAAAATATCATAAATGGAATATTTAATACATCAATCATTTAATTAATCAGTTAACCTTTATAAAGCTCAAAAACAGAATCAAAATTTAATATATTTTATCCAATATGTTTAATCTAAAATTTAAAATAAGTGGATAACTTATTTTAAAATCATGCATATATGAATATTAGAGGAATGCATGTTAATTCCACTATGAGGAAAACACTGGTTGTCACTTAATAATTGAATATTTTCTCAATTTCTTCTCTACAGACTTCATTAAGTAGAAAGTTACTTTTTTGCTATATCATATACCCTAAGAAAAAAGGAGGAACTAAATGAGGCATCTCCCTAAAATTTATCTCCTGCTACCATTTGGAAGTAGTCAGAGATTTCATATTTGTCTATGGGAAGTCTAATGTTCCTGTCACTCTCCATCTTACATGGATCGTGAGTCTAACATATTTTCTTTTTTATTTTCTCTTTCTCTTCTCAGTCTCTGCCACAGTCCAAATGTGTGGAAAAATGTCAGCCTGGATTTGTCAAGAAGGCTCGAGAAGGAGAGTCATTTTGCTGCTATGACTGTGTTCCTTGTCCAGAGGGGACCATCTCCACTCAGGAAGGTGGGTGACACCAGAAGGAAACCTACTGGATTCATCCAGAGAACTTTAATCAATATGCATCTTAAAGAATCATATAGATTTGTTTTTAATTTTCTTCCCTAATGGGAGGGGAAAGAAAAAATTCTTGAAGGATGAGTTAAGAAATCTTTCTTTTATTTTCCATTTTGGATGTGTCCTTCCATATTATCTTTCTTAGAAATATATGGATTCTTTGTAACTTGAGAAATGATTTTAGTTCAATGCACTTTGCTCATCCAAATCAACTTTACATTGCAGCCCAAAAGATACATCAATTATACTGTCAACTCTCTGTGTTGACATTCCATGCGGAGTGGCAACAGAGCCGGATCTCAGATTCGAGTAGCTGGGTTGAAATGAATGAAGCTATTGGATAACATGATTTATGACAGGCTGAAGGAAGGACAGAAACACAAGCAAAGTTCAAAAGCAGATAAAGAAAGCAAAAAAGATGGCTGTGAATAAGAAATGCCTAATGAAGAATGCCTAATGAAGCTGTTAATAAATCACTACTTTTTGTATTACAATATTGGGTTGCTTATTATGAAGCAGGCATTGTTAGGGTACTTTACACATACATTTAACCAATTACTCTTTATTAAGATCATAAATCCTTATAATCTAATTGGGAGGAACAATGGAGAGAGAGAAGTTGGGTTTAAGGAACAAATGAAAACCAAACAGAGGATTCAGCATAAAACCACCAAGTGGATATTTCTTTTCCACCTTTTCATATCTTTCCAGTTTGCATTGTTGTTAAATATTGAGATAAAAACTGTTATAACACCAACACAAAAAGAAATATAGTTGTGGTTCTGAAAAGAAAAAAAAAATAGCATACAAAGCTGGAATTAAAAGGAAAAGAAAGAGGGCAATGGAGAATTAATAAAAGACCAATTTACAAATAGATACTAATGTTGAATTCCTTCTCTCTTTAATTGTTTAATTGCTGCCAAAATTAGAAAGTATGGAAATATATTGCTTCATCTTCTTGGTTTTGGGGGGCAAAAAGACTAGGCAGATAAAAAAAACCTCAGTTCCTCTTCTGGTTTCCTTCATGTTTCTTCATTCCTTCATCTTTCTTAAGCTCTCTTTCCTTTCAAATTTTGTCTATTTCACACAAAGTGACTTTTGGTGGTACACACTTAAATTACAAATTACAAATTAAAACAATGACAACTAAATGCTAAGAAAGCAAGAGAGGAGTACATCAAAATGCTATCCACAAAGGACTCTCTTGTCAGGGGATTCCCAGGACTGTTGGAAAATGTCACATTTTAAGGGATTTCTAGAAGGCCTCACAGTTTGGAGATACTCTCAATTTCAGGATAGTTAATGATTCTTTTTTCCTGGAGGGGCCTGTACCACCTGCCCTGAAATAGGCAGTGTTGCAACCCTTCACGAGAGGAATTCCGTGAATCCAACCATGTTAGGCAACTTTTATCCTGTGTCCAATCTTTTTAGCATAGTTTCTTGAAACCATGTTTGGTGGGTCAATCATCAGTAAGGGAGTTTAAATATTTTTGGTAGGAATGTATGTCCATCATCTGACAAAAAAAAATAGTAAATAAAAAAGAAACAAACAAGCAAACAAACAATCTGGTTAGAGCAGTTTATGGAAAACATGGTTGGTGTGTCAATAATCAATAACCTAATTTAAACATTCTAAAACAAACATTCTAGAGTAAACATATGTCCATCATCTCACTTTAAAAAAAAATACAATAAATAAAAACAAAGAACTCATGATAAGATCAGTGAGTGGTAAGAATCTGGTGGATTACCAAAGAGAAGGGAGGTTGTGGCGCCATATATTTCTTCTTATAATTTTATTTTGTTGTTCCTTATTTGTAGTTGTATATATTGGGAATTTTTCTTTGCTGGAGTGTATTTGTGTACCATTTACTGAGGCTTTCCTATCTCTTAGTATCACCATCTCATCTAAAGATTTATTTTAAATTTGAAAGACTATGAAAGATATTACTTTGTTTTCTTAGATACTGCAAAATGCACCAAATGTCCAGATGATCAATATCCAATCAAGAACCAAATTCAATGTATCCCAAAAAGAATAACCTTCCTGTCCTATGAAGAACATCTGGGCATCATCCTCATCTCCTTTGCTCTGCTCTTGTTCCTAATGACAGGCTTCATATTAATCATATTCCTGAAATACATAGAGACTCCTATTGTCAAAGCCAACAACCGGGACCTCTCCTTCATCCTCCTGATCTCCCTCCTGCTTTGTTTTTTGTCCTCCTTTCTCTTCATTGGCCAGCCAAGGAAAGCCACCTGTTTTCTCCGACAAACCATCTTCAGCATTGTCTTCTCTGTAGCTGTGTCTTCTGTGTTGGCCAAAACTATCATGGTGGTGCTGGCATTCTTGGCCTCAAAACCAGGAAACAGGATGAGAAGATGGTTAAGGAAGAGCTTGGCCAACTCCATTATCCTTTCTTGTTCTGGTGCTCAAATATTAATTTGTGCCATGTGGTTGGGAGTTTCGCCCCCATTCCCTAATTCTGACATGCACTCCCAGCCTGGAGAGATCATCCTTCAATGCAACGAAGGTTCTGTTGCCATGTTTTATGTTGTCCTCGGCTACATGGGTTTCCTATCTGTCATTTGCTTCATAGTGGCTTTCCTGGCCAGAGACCTGCCTGGGGCCTTCAATGAAGCCAAGCTGATCACCTTCAGCATGCTGGTCTTCTGCAGTGTCTGGGTCTCTTTCCTGCCCACCTACCTGAGCACTAAAGGAAAGTCCATGGTGGCTGTGCAGGTCTTCTCCATCTTGGCCTCCAGTGCTGGACTGCTGGGCTGCATCTTCTTCCCCAAGTGCTACATTATCATCCTTAGACCAGATCTAAACAATAAGGAGCATCTAATGATAAAAGAACAGAACTGACAATGAAATTGTTTCTTAGGATCATAACATTTAACTATTGATTACAATTGTTATTGGTTTATATGCTTTGGTAGCCTGTATTTGATGGTTTCCATTAGTTAACACACACAAAAATAAAAATAATTCGATTAATGAAATTAACATCTAAGATAATCACTAAACAATAAGATTAATTAATAGTTGATATTTGTGTTTTTAAACTATAGATAACCTTCCTTTTCCTCAGCACGCTCGTTATCAAATATTTTTCTAAAGCAGTCTTACAAGAGAGTATACACATAATTGTGCCCTGGGCTTTGGACTGATTTAAGCTTGGTGGGTAACTTCAGAGTTAGTTATGAGGGTCTCAACCTCATCTTCATGGTTCTTTCAGAATTCAGAATCTAGTGTAGGACCCAAAGCAATTATTGAATGCCGTGTTTTTCAACATGTCCTGGTGTTACTCCCTGAAATAATATTGAGAGATAGGCCCCACATAACAAAGAGATGTTCTCATATATATGTGTTTCAAAATGGAAGGATAGACTAATGCATAAGTAACAACTGATATAACAAATGATGAATAAATGATGCAGCTATTATACTGTTGCCATTATGGAAACTTGGTGGGATGAAACCCACAAATGGAACAGGGCTAGAGGGATTCGAATTATTTAAAAGGAACAGACCAAATAAAAGAGGAGGTGGAGTTGCACTATGTATAAGAAATAACTAAATGTCTACAGAAACAAAACACAAGAATGATGAAGAGTGTCTTGAATGCATTTGGGTCAATATAAAAGGGGGGCGGGGAATGGCACTACCATAGATGTATACTATAGGCCACCCGACCAAACAGAGAAAATACATGAACTTTTTGCTAGTCAGTTAACTAAGTATATACAGTAGTAAGCACATCAAATAATTGGGGAACTATAAATGGGTGACTTTAACTACCCTGACATCAACTGGGAGAGAAACTCTGCACCATGTGGAAAATCAAACATGTTCCTGACAAACCTAGCAGACAACTTTGTCTCTCAAAAAGTAGAGAAGGGAACTAGGCCATATTGGACTTCATTCTCACTAGCAGAGATGAAATGATAAATGGTGTTGAAGCTACAATAACTTTGGTGGAGAGGAGTGATTGTGCAATATTGGAATTCAACATTGTGTAAGCACAAGCAATAGAAAAAGTCAAATTAGAATTTTAGACTTTAAGAGAACGAATTCAATAGACTTGGAAAGAGCTTGGGAAGGATTCCATGGATGAGAATCCTCAAGGGGAAAACAACCCAAGAAGTTTTGGAAACCTTGAAAACTAAGCGTTCACATTCATATGTAATGGATATCAGTGTATATCCGTCTTCTGCCTGTTTTTCCTTCATTTTTCCTAAAATCTTAGACTTTAAGAGAGTGAATTAGAAAGAGCCTTGGGAAGGATTCCATGGAAGAGAATCCTCAAGGGGAAAACAACCCAAGAAGCTTCAGAGACTTTGAAAAGTAAGCGTAGACATTTATATGTAAGGGATATCAATGTATTGTAAATCAGAGAGCTCAGCCTCCATCTTCTGCCTATGTTTCCTTCAGGGAGGGAAAGGCAAAAAAGCAATCAAACAATAAAACAGGGAAGATATTGGCAAACCTCCATTGTTGAAGCACCCAGAGCTTCTGGAGGCAAATCATTCCAGTGATTAATGGTTCTGACTGTTGGGAAATTTCTCCTTAGATATAGGTTGGTTCCATATCTACAAGTTCCTTACTTTGATTGCAGATACTCTAAGGAGAGAGAAAAGGAAGGAAGGAAGTGAAGAAAATTTTTGCTCTGTGTTGGCAATGCTGACTGTGATGACGACAGGGCTCAGCTGTCCCAGTGCATGTGAAGAGGTTCCCTCCCTCAGAAGAGGGGTTTCTGACCAACCCCAAGGCTGTCCAGGCAGGTTGGGGGCTCTGCCTGCCTGCCTCTCTTGTAGAGCACTCTCACTACCCTGGCCAGGAAGGTACAAATACTTCCTGCAGCCCCCTGTCACTCTTGGCTCTCCAGGACTCATGCTTCATTGCCCACTCAGTTGTCCTCATGAGGACTGGAAATCCATGATTCTCTTTGTCAGGAGTGGGAGCTTCTTGTCACCTCTCTGCAGCACAACCAGCTGCAAAAATCGGTCCAGTTTCAGTGAGCTGGAGGCCTCATGGCTGGGCTTGCAAGAACAAAGCCAGGCACCACAAGGCTCATGGCCTCAGGAATCACAACTGTGTGAAGGTCTTCAGAAAGACCCAGGTGGAGCTGAGCCGGAGACCTTGGGAAGGTTTTGGGGGAGTTTTTGCCCTTTTGGAGGTTGAACATCCCCTTCCCCAATATCTTTGTATTAAAAGGCTCAAATCTAAGAGCAGGCAGGCTCTGATCCTTAGGAACCTATCAGTGTACAGAATAATGAAGAATGTTCAAGAAAGCAGAAGTGATTAATGATGCTTGTTCAGAATCATAATCAATCAATAATTGACCAAATTAAACCAGAACACAGGAACTCCAAACAGGCCCTTTGAAGCACTTGGAGATCTTCTGGGGTGGAGTTTCAAATGAAGCCTCAGAGATGAGAATGTCACAGGAGTTGCACCATCTACAAAACTTGAGGAACTTCCACCAGGTCCTCTTAAACCAACTACTGAGTGGTTGTGGCAAAAAAAAAGGTTACACCATCCACCACACTCTGGGTTCTGCAACCATATCAGCTGTCGACCTCACAGCACACTGTGGTTCTTAAGAAAATTCAAAGGCTTTCACTGTGGAAGAGACAAGACAGAAAGTGAAAAAGGAACTAAAACAAAAACCTCTGTCCATTATTTTATAATAATCTCTCTACTAGCCAATGATGCAGTCAACAGCCATCCTTTTCTTGTCTCTGAGTCTACTCTCATGCAAAAATTGATTTTTCTAGAGAAAATGGCAAATTAAATTTCTCTTCAGTTATAAAGAATTCAATAATCATCTCCAATTTGGGATGAATATATGGAAATCCCATTGAAAAGAAAATCCCAAACTCTTAACATTAGGTTGGGTTCAAAGATAATGAATGCTTCCATGGCATCAGAGCAAAGGCAGCACTAGAGTTAAGGGTCACCAATGTAGAGTGGCACCAAACTCCTCAGCAGTCTCTGGAGACAAAGGACCACATTGAAAGAAAGCAGAAGTAATTTTTCTGGTTGTTGTTGCAGCATCACTTTCTGGACATGTCCTAACAGGAGGGACTGTGACACTGCCTCAAAGGGTCTCTCTGTGATTTTTCACTAATATGCTTCTCTCCACCTGCCCCTCATCAGATGGAAGATGTTCAGGATCCCAAAAGAACAAGTTGCTTCTCACTGTAATTATCACCTCACAGGCCTTGAGACCTCTTCTCCTCCTTCTCCAGTGACTGCCTTTGATGTAAACATCCCATTGAAGTGACATGGAAGGGATCTTGCATTAGAAAAAGATAAACGGCACAGGTTATGCTTTTTTGTGGCTCAAGTTATAGGGCAGGTAGGAGCTGTGATCTTCAATGTACTTTCTCTCTCTTCCAGGGGAATCTTGATTTGTCT